CATCTTCTAGTGGAATTCCGAGGAGTTCCATGTGCTTGAAGAGCTTAGTCATTCTTGCCACATGTGGTTGGAGGGGAATACCCGGTCTCAACTTGGTGTTGCAGACTGTAGACCAAAGATGGTACCTCTCTTTCGCAAGACAACCTTGATTCGATGGCTTTACATTCATGTTTGTAAGTGACCTAGTCACTTCAAACAAGAGTCCATCATTGTTGTCGTTGAAACTCTTAGAGAATCTCACACCGACAACATCCCTTAGTCCTCCAAGGAACAAGTCCGGGAAAGAGAATGAAAGTTATTCTTTCCATTCTTCCGGGATGGAGTTAGCCATGAGTTGTGATACTAATTTGCAATCTTTTGATCATGCACAATAAGTTTCGTCACTCAAGTGTTTCTTGGAACAGAGGGTTGGGAGGGAAGTATCCAGAACATACTCCTTGGAACAACTCCGGAGAGTTCTCCTGAGTTCTTCTTCCCATTCTTCAAGGTTTGTTAAGTTAAGCTTGATAGCTAAATTTTCGGGGAGTTTCGGGTACACATGGTTGTTTTTTGAGTTACTTGCAGACATTGTTCTACAATTGAAAGAATTTGAAGTGAAAAACCATTCATAAATCAATAAGTTGAACTTTAAAACGTTCATGCATATATTCAATCTTATTGAGAATTTTATCCACGCATTTAAATGTCCCTTATGGGAGAGAATAAAATGATTCCGAGATCCCAAAGATCAAGAAATGGTTAAGCATGCTTTGGCTTGTCTTAATCATTAAATATCTTAAGGTAAGCAATCTAATTGCTAATAGCTCCAAGCTACTCTCGGTTTGATAAAATGTCGCATCTAATGCATCCTTGACATTTTATCTCTTTTACCACGACATCTAAGGACTCCTTACTGATATCCGTTGAGCTTAACCAAGACAACTTGTATACCTAGTATACCTTACGTTCCTAGGGAAGTAGTGATGCCTCGCTTTAGCGTAGTCCATCACGTACGCGCATTAGTTCGGTAAGTGTTGTTCTTGGAACGGCAAATTTTAGCTCAATATTATTAAGGGACCTAGGGTTTCTATGTTGGTTGATTTAAGTGAACTTAACTAATCGTCGCACCATAATAGAAATCCTAGACATGCATCTAGCAATCATATATAATAATAATATATATAAGGCATAAAAATAGATGCATTTGGCAACTAGCATGACCCCTTGAAATCTTCGATTACCATGGGTCTTCATCTTGGCTCGTCTTCATCGAAACGCCGTCTTGAGACATCTTGGCCAAAATGAAAGAAGCTAGCTAGAACGACTAAGATTAATCTAATAGTATAAAAATACTTAACGGTTCGCAGACCGTATTTAGATTTACAAAAATACATAACGGAACGCGGTCCGTATTTTCTATCCTAGTCGGGCCCCACTAGTTGCCATTTTCAAAGACCTGTTTTGAAAAACAATCTTCCATTCACCCATTCACTATTTTTGAATGGCCCATGCAATTTTACGAAATACATAATTAAACACACAAAACTAGTAACTAACTTAGGTGGTTAATCCAATTAACGCGCCTAATTAAAACTAGTCAAAGTTGTTTAATCCATTATTTCTAATCGCAAAATGCTTACGCAACTAATTAAGCTCCCACTAAATTCCGCATCCGTACTTAATTAATCCGATTAATTAAGTCGGCATAACCCATAATTTGTCAAAATTTTGCAAAACCGAAAATCGAGGTTTTTAGCCTCGTTAAAATAATTACCAAAAATATTTTAAAGACGGGATAATGCAAAAATCATAGCCCAAATCTTAAGCAAAATGCCCCAACACAACCCTTTGAAGGTGCGCACCATGGCTGCTAGGCAGCCCATGGCATGGCGCCATGGTGCGTGGGCGAGGCCTGCTGTGCCCAGCAAGCATCGCTGCTAGCCCAGCTGCCTGCTAGCATGCTGCGCATGCTTGCTAGCATGCTAGTGCTTGCGAGCTGCTTGCGTGCTGGGCTGGCGCCTACTGATGCTAGCCAGCATGCATAGGCAGCCCCTGCCCAGCCATTGCCCCACGCATTGCTGTGCCCAGCAAGCTCCCTGCCACACACCCACACGCATCATCATGGCACACCCTTGTGCGAACCATAGGTAGCCACATGTGGGCTGCTGGGCAGCCCGACTAGCCTTGGTGGCGTTTGGGTGTTTTTGCCTTGATTTGCGTGCCAATTCTCGGAATTTAATTCCGATTTGTGTGTGACAATAATTAATTCTAAATTACATTTTAGAATCAATTTGAAGGAAAATTAAATTAAATTAAATTAAGTCCTACTTAAATAAAATTTATTTTATTGGTGCACAAGCCTAAATTATTCAAAAATTTTAATTTTGAACAAAATTAGGTCTAACTTTATGCTTAAAATAAAATGAGCTATGTCCATAATTAATCTTGCCAATATGCAAATTAATAATGGGTTTGACAAATGGGAGTTGGAAAAATAAATTAACCATCCAATGATAAAAAAATTTCCAACTTGCATACTTGTGTAAAATACCAAGATTACATCTTCCAATATGAAGATTAATCAAAAATTACTCACAAGTAATTGAACTTAATGGATTTTAATCAACCAAACATGAAAAATCCAAACTTTGTTCAACATGGAATTTAGGGTTAGGGTTCCAATCATTTAAACCTTTAAAGATTAGAACTTTAACATTATAGGAACTTAAAAATACAAGATCACAACAAGCTTTCACATTTTATTGCAATTTATTTGCAAAATTTGTGAAAAACAAGTTTATGTGAAAAAAATGGTATATCAACTTAAGCACTAATAAAAACTCCATTATTATGCTTAAGGATATTTTAAAACCAGTAGATTAGTGATGCAAATGTGCATTTAATCTAACCTTGTAATGCTTGCATTAATCAAGGCTTAAAAGAATTAAAATTTTAGTTGAAAAACGAAAAACCCTAGAAAAAATGGGTTTCTGGTTCGAATTTGGCTTCTGGACAGCCCTTAAAAGATTGAATCTGTTCCAGAATGTCGATTCCACCCAAAAATCACTATTTTTGAGCCAAAATCTGGGTTCGACAGCCAAATCGAAATTAAAATCAAGTTTTAAAATTAATTAAAACGAGCATCTAATCTAATTAGAAGAACATGAACCAGAAAAATAAATTCTTTTAAAACACCTTAATTAAAAAATAATTGCAAAAATTAAAAGGAGCGTGGCTCTGATACCACTGTAGGGTTTCGTAGTGACCCGACACTACGTGGAAGGAAACCCACCAAGACCCGCCCCTTAATTAAAACAATTAACAAGCATATTAAACTCAATCAAACAAGATTAAGAACAAGAATTATACCTTTGTCGCGTGCTTCGCTCCCAAAGAGCTCTTACTTCAAAATCCCGAAAACACGAGATCTCCGACGGATCGTACACTCGACCCGACCCGAGCGTCTTAAGTCTTGAAGGTTAGTCAAGACCCGGACAAAATAACTATGAGTTTTACGAATCAAAGGTTTACTCTTAATTAGAGTTGCCTTTTTAATTCCACTCAAGGTTGTTCATTTCCCAATACCCAAGCTTGGTATTTATAGGGAAATGAACCCTTGATTTTTCATCCTCCACCAATGTGGGAGTGTTGAAATACAATGATTTATTTAATTTCCAAATTAAAATCAAGTTAATCACATTTCGACAAGTGGCATGATCATATGCAAAAGAGTGGTGGCCAAGGTTAGGTGGGGGACCATATGCCTTGCTCCCCAAGGCCTTGATTTGGTCCCCACATCCTATGCACAAAACCGGGTCAAGGAAGGCTAGCTGGCTGCCAGCTAGCACTGCCTTGCTGCCCAGCACCCCAGCCAACCAGCCAGTGCGTGCTGCTGCTGGGCTGGTGCTGTGTGATGGCGCTGGTGCGTGCTGTTGCTATGCGCTGGTGCGTGCTGGTGCTAGCCCTAGCACTCCCACGCACTGCCTCGCACACTCGCACACCCCTCATGCTACGCGCATCCAGCCCCATGCCTAGCATGCGTGCTGCTAGCGAGCCACGCATGTTGGGCTAGATGATGCTTGCCAGCTCTCCCTCGCATCATGCTACGCACCACGCATCACGCAGCATGCTATGCACCACGCACAACTCGCACACGCATCAGCCAGTGCCTAGCACTGCTATGCTTGGTGCGAGGCACGCACATGCACATGCGCCAGTGCCCAGCACTGCGATGGCTGTGCTTGGTGTGTGTGTGGCCCTGCCATGCGCTCCCAGGCACCAAGGCTAGCACGCTGCTAGCTGCGATGGGCTGCCTGGTGCTTGTGGTGCTTTGCGATAGGCTGCCATGCGCACCTAGGCATCCATGCTAGCATGCTGCTAGCTGCGATGGGCTGCCTGGTGCTTGTGGTGCTTTGCGATAGGCTGCCATGGCACGCCTAGGCTGCAATGGTGCCCCTAGGCTGCGCCTAGAGCTCTTGATGGGCTGCCATGGCATGCCTAGGCTGCGATGGTGCGCCTAGGCTGCGCCTAGAGCTTACGATGGGCTGCCATGACATGCCTAGGCTGCGATGGTGCGCCTAGGCTGAGTCTAGCCATGCTAGGTGCATGCTAGCTCGAACTAGCCTAGCATCCACATGGTTAGACCATTGTGGTGCTACGGCTACACTCATACTTGTCGCTTTGTGATTTTGCGACGCTCGGCCTTGACGCCCTAGGCTCGATATCCGACGTCTGTATTCGTAAAACTCTGTCGACTCATTAAATCCTTTCGGATTAATTCGTCGTCCCGGATCGGTGATTCGATTGGGTTCGACCCGAAGGGTTCAGTTAAGATTAAGCTGTAACATCAATTGTACATTGATATTACTGATCGGAAGCGGCCTCCACCTAGGCATTCCGATCACTTGACCTTATTGAAGAATTAGCTCCGTAATAATTCTGAACCCTCTATCGGAAGAATACACTTGTTGGAAGGACATCATTCCTTTCAAAGAGGGCAAGGGTACGATGGAGCTAGCAACATGAAAGGTGAAATAAATGTTATTAAGACTTTGATTATGAATGATACTCCAAGTGCCTACTACATACATTGTTTTGCTCATCAACTTCAACTAACACTAGTTGTCGTTGCTAAAAAGAATGATAGTTGTGGTTGGCTTTTTGAGATACTTGCAAATTTATTGAATGTGGTTGGAGTTTCTTGCAAGAGAAGAGAAATGATTCGACAAGATCAAGCTCAAGAAGTTGTTCGAGCATTGGATGTAGGGGGTAATGTGAGTGGATCGGGTTTAAATCAAGAACTTGGTTTGAAAAGGCCCGGGGATACTCATTGGAGTTCTCATTACAAGTCTCTTTCAAACATCATCCTCTTATTTCCTACAATTGTGAAGGTAATTGTACACATTGGGAAGCATGGTGTATCGGAAGATAAGTTCAAAGCTCAAATTGTTTTAGGACAATTAGAGTCATTTGACTTTATTTTTATTGCTCACTTGATGTTGACTATTTTTGGATACACTAATGATTTGTGTGTTGCTTTGCAAAGAAAGGAGCAAAAATTGTAAATGCCATGGAACTTGTCACTTACACAAAAATGGTGTTGCAAAAAATGAGGGAGCAAGGATGGGATACTCTCTTAAACAAGGTAACTTCATTTTGTGCTAAACATGGTATTGTTGTTGCCACTATGGATTCTCCTTATGTTCCTCAAGGAAGATCAAGATGTTTTGTTGAAGAAGCAACAAATCAACATCATTTTCGGGTTGGAATTTTTTTAAGAGTGATTGATTTGCTTCTTCAAGAACTTGATGATCGATTTAATGAGAGGAATATGGAGATACTAATATGTATGGCTTGTTTAAGTCCTAAAGATAACTTCTCATCCTTTGATAAAGATAAGGTACTTAAACTTTCCTCTTTTTATCCCGAAGAATTTTCAAGCTTTGATTTGATGACTCTTAAATGTCAACTTGATATATTCATGGAGAATATGCTAAATGTTGAAAGATTTCAAGGTTTAAATGACCTTAATTCTCTTTCTATGCTTCTTGTTAAAACCAATAAGCATAAGACTTTTCCTCTTATTCATTTTCTTATCAAGTTGATGTTGATTCTTCCGGTTGCCACGGAAAGTGTTGAAAGAGTGTTTTCCGCAATGACATGTGTCAAAAATAAGTTGTGAAATAGCATGGGTGATCAACTTATGAATGATTGTTTGATCACTTTTATTAAGAAGGATGTCTTCTTAGGAGTTTCCGATAAAAAAATTGTTGATCGCTGCCAAAATATGAAGACTCGAAGAATGAAAGTGTAATTTTAATGTAATGTTTATGTAATTTTTTTCATCATTTTGAATTGTATGACTAAGTATGTTTTTTATTTTGAAATTTTAATATTAAGTATTAACCAATTTGTGTGTTTGAGTTTTTTTTTTTTTCTTTTTTTTTGTTAAGCTTTTTGTAAGTTAAGCATTTTGTCTCCTCAAGTTGAAAATCCTGGATCCGCCACTGCCAATACAGACACTAAGCTCTTGAATTCTTCTTCAATGCTTGGGCACGCATAAACTCCTGCCCATGCAACTTGCTCAAGCAACATTATTATGACTTCTAGCCTAGCTTGCTCACACTCTAGCTTCCCGGACTTGGTTTTGTTGACTTCCAAAGCTTGAAATGCATAAAAAGGATAATATAGCCATTAGAAATATGCATTTCTCTAAATAACACACAAGCACGCAAAACAAACATTATCTCATAAAAACACGACATAAGAGGCTAAACACGAGTGTAAAACTACGAAGAAAACTAGCTTATGAATGCCATAAATGGCACTCATCAACATTCAAATCATTGGACACTATACTAGGAACATACGTACACTGCCCACTTTAGTTCCCAAATCTCCATCCTCACTATCACCCTCATCTTCGTCAACTTCACGACCCTCAAACTAATGGGTAGCCCCACAAGAGACACCAATTCCCCAACTGGACACCAATTCCCAAACGTCATCGTTTGACCTACAATAAAACGATTGGTGCTTTATTTTGATCCAAAAGGGAGCACTAGGCGAAAAAGGCAAATAGGCACCGGTTCAAACCCCCTCTTTGGCACCGGTTTTGAACCGTTGGGTATTTGAGGGATGCCAAATCTCTGAAGATTTGGCACCGGTTCAAAACCGGTGGCTATTTAAAGATTTGGCACCGGTTAACCGGTGCCAAATACCCTCTTTGGCACCGGTTAACCAATGCCAATTACCCATGGCGCGCTTTTTTTTTATTTCAGTACAATAGGCACCAGTTTTGACTTAGAACCGGTGCCAAAAGTTCCCAAAAAAATTTAAAAAAAACTTTTGGCACCGGTTCTTTTCCAAAACCGGTGCCAAAAATGCCCAAAAAAAATTTAATTTTTTTTTTTTTTTTTTTTTTTTGCATGTTTTTCACTTAAATTGTACCAATTACTTATATATAATCATAATATACATAAAACACATATATTTTCTTCAATAACTTGTAATATTACACTTTAAAAAACTAAAAAAAAAAAACACTTGAGATTTCAGTTGAATGCTGACTACTACACTTGGATCTTGTTCTGGTTTGTTGAGAAGTTTGCTGTGTTGATACTACTGTGGTGCTGTCTGTTTTCCTTTTGCAGCCATGTTGTTGGTTTTCTGGGGAGCTGTGATGCTGAGCTGCTGTGTTGCTAGGCTGGTTCTTGGTGGTGATGCAGATGTGTCTGTTTTCTATGCAGACTGATGTCTCTGTCAGGAGTTGCTGGGAGGTGCTGCTCATGGATTTAGAGTCTGTCTCCTTTGACTTTATGCTCAGCTAGTGCTGTCTGTCTGCCTGTTTTCCTACAGGGCTTGCTGGTGTCTGCTCTGTACTGGTTGGGCTGCTGTTTGGGTTCTGAGCAGTAGTGGTGTGGGATGGTGCTGCTGTTTTGGTGGGCTGCTGGTCTGTTTTTGATTAGGTGCTTTTTTTTATGGTGTGTTTGCTAGATGCGTGTAGGTGTTGTTTTGGCCTCTTGTGTATATGGGCTTGTTGTGTTTTTTCCAAACAATCTATTCAGTAGTATTTGGTCTATACAATCCTCTAGTTAATTGCTTGCATGTAACTCAATTCAGGTCCAAACCATCCAATACACCTGAATTCCCTCACCTCGAACATCAGTCAAGTTTCAACCATACAATTAAAATAATAAACTTCTATAGACTGCTGGAAAAGAAATGGTAGCTGCGATCACATATACCAACAGCAAATTTGGAACTCAATATTTTCTTTTTCTATAGTAATAATAGTTCAAAATTCCATGAATGACACATTGGAGAGGGTCCAACCTTTAAACCATTTGTGCCAAAATTAATAAAGGAAATAAGAAAATAAATTTGCCCAGCAGTTCAAAACTGAAACTCAGATTCAGCATGATCAACAAGAATTCTAAGTATACCCAACTCACCTACCACATCAAGGTGCCTTCCGTCTTTGAAAAACTTTTTAGCTAATTCATCCTGCAGAGAGCAAACTTATAAGTCAGGCAGGAGGAATGTAATTATAGGCAGAATTAAAAACATAGAATTTCAGCAGAACATCTTAATTCCTATCTAGGGTCTAAATATATACCTTCAAATGTTTTAATATACTGTTGAAACATATCCTGTCAAAGTTCCCACATATACTATCCAAAATTTTCCCAACAATATTTGCCTCTTGAATTTAGACAAAACAGACATGCTATTGGGCTTTTTTTTTTCCAAATTGTGACTGTTTCAATAACAACTCCCATCAAAATAAATCATAGGGTGTCATAGAACTTTAACTTCAGCTTATGCATTACCCAGCTAACCAAAGTAAAACTTTGCAAAAACCTATTCCTTTTTAAATTATTTTCTAAACAAAAATATCAAAAAGGTAGCCATTTTATGTGACTTACTATACAATAATCAATTTTCTGTTCCACTCTAAAATCAGAACTTGTATCCCAGGTGCACCAAAAATTGTGACCCTTAAAAGCAAGCAAGATGCTCGGGACAGGCATCCCTGAGACCCTGAGAGCAGGCATCCAACTCAAATACAAGAGATAGTCCCATATATGATGTCGACTTCTAGAATACAATCAAAATCTATTAGAAAATTTGAAAAAAATGTATAAAAAAAAAAAACTATTAAAATTGATGTCGGCTTCTAGCAAGTACGATTTTCTTAAACTCTCACATCTGCTACTTACTAAGAAGCATATTTGAGAATGTCAAAGGTAGTCATGTGGGAAGTTAAGAAAAAGTTACTGAAAAGACTATATATATAACAGGTGAAAGGAAAAACAACTGGAAGACCACAACATATCCAGCAACAACCAGTATAAGTAAGAACACAAAGACGGTCAACAGACTGCTCAAGAATATGGTTTTCATATTCTTACTTTGATACCTCATATGGTTTTCATACACCAAATTATAGATCAGAAATGTACCAGCTGTAAGAATCTTGGTCTTACTTAGAGAGATTTTTTTAAGCCACTTTAGATTACTGAGATCGTCTCAAATGGACGACGAACATGCTAAAGAGGGAATACTGCAGAAAAACATAAGGCCATCAAAGTAGAAGGCAAGAAGCTACTCCGTGATACTTACAAAAGACTAACTAAGATATACAAAGTACTCCATAATTAAGATTAGAAAGCATAAACAAAGCAACTTACATCTGCTGTTGAGAGTTTCAAGTCAGCAATGATTCCAGACTGTACAGTCTAAGTAGGACAACAGGTCAAAGCAGTCTTAATGAATATTGAAAATAGCCTAAACAACAAATTAAATCAATGAAGTGGAAGCACGGCAAAAAAAAAAAAAAAAAAAAAAACAGATTAATCACACAATTAAGACTGTAGAAGAGTGTATCCCTCTCATAGAGTCATTGGTAAAGAAATAACCTTTTTGCAACACAAACAAACTACAATAGATGGTTGACAACGAAAACAGGCAAGAACCAAAATTAGTATAAACACCACATTATCCATGTTACTAAAATGGAGATGCATATTACAAACGCGTAAATGTTTAGTGGAAAACTAAGGGTTCCACTGACAAAAAAATCATTAATCACCACATAAACAATAAGAATAGCTTTCAAGATGACTCCTTTCTGTAAAGCAATGCTCTCCTTTTTGTACTCAGCACTAAATCATCAAAGTTACGTGAGTTCAGTTCAACTGATGCACTGGGCTCAGACGACTTTTCACTTGATCCTCCTGATTTTCCATTTAAATGATCCTTCATAAGTGCCTTTACCTGCTCACAACTCACACATCTCAACATTTGTGTGTTCTCTTTCCAAAAATAATTCAGACTATGCTGGCCAAATATGCATCAATAGTTTAATCCGTCAACCACTTTCTTGTGATAAAAAAAAGCATGCAAAAGCAGGCACGTTCTCCTGTTAAAATAAATCCCAAAATAAATGAAAGGAAACTCATCTTCTAATTTATTTCTTACAAGCTACATACAAACTTTAAAATCAGAACGTAAACCCCCTTTAACAGAAACCATTCTATACAAACTACGAGATATATTGGCCAAATAATAGTGAACAATTCTACTTTATGTTCCTTCAAACCCAGGCATACATATTACCTGATTCCTTACCCCCCCCCCCCCCTCGAATTGAGAAAGGAACATTTAAACATGAATGTGGTACATTATGCCTAAATTGACAATACTCAGTAGTGAATAGAATACACATATCCAATCTCATACTAGCCAATTTGGTAGCACTATTCCATACTTTGCCATGTATCTATGCACATAGCCACCCACGCATCAACATCAACTCCTATTTGTTGATAAGAAAATATTGCGATGACATCTACTACTATTTTTAGAGACCAACCCACACTAATACAATCCAAAAGTAGTACCATTTTTATCAAATTAATCGAACTCAAACAATTTAATTTAGTTCAATCCAACTCAAACAATTCAATTCAATCCAAGTACAACAACAATACCAAGACCAAATCAAACAACAATTCGAACAACAACAATCCAACAACACCTCAAAACCAATTCGAACAAGTAAACAACAGCCCAACACCAATTTGAATAACAAGTAAACAACATCCCCACCCGTACACCAATTCAAACAACAAGTATACAACATCCGAACACCAATTCTAACAAGAACAAGTAAACAATACCCAAACAATAATAACTCGAACATCAACTCCCAAAACTGATTTCATCCTAATTTCATCGAATTACCACTAAAAAACTAATTTCATCCAACCTCATTTACATAAAATTACAAATAAATAAAATTTAAATTCAAACTAAAAATTAAATTGCTTACCCATTTGATTTGAATTCAAAAATCCTTAAAATCAACATATTAACTTCGATAATACAACAATGAAACCCCAAAAACTAAAATAAATTCAATTATCTAATTAAAATTCAAAAACCCTAAAATCAAAAAAATTAATTAAACAATTCCCCACCCAGCCCGACAGCCACTCCCCAGCCCAGCCCCGACAGCCACCCCCACACCCTCCCCCTGCACCACCACCGAAACCACCCTCCTTCCAGAGCCACATGAGCGCAATAGAATTCCCGCCCCAGCCCCACCAACGAAACTGCCCAAAACTTGAATTCCCTAACCCAAAACCACCCTAAACTCCCATCCCTTTCCCCACCCGAAACCTCCACCCCTTTCCCTGACCCTAGTTTACAAGAACTAACCCTAAATTCGAATTTCAAATCAACAACAAACCCTAGATTGTGAAACTGAAATCGATAATCTAAAAAGGACAAAAACACATTCTTACCTGGAAGCTGCTTCAATGGAGGTGAGAAAGCTCGAATCCGCTTCAATGGAGAATTAACAGTACGCGTAGTGGAGAAGTGATATGGACAAAGCTCAGAATGCGCTTCAATGGAGAACTACGAGCACGCGTAATGGAGGAGAGATTTGGAGAAAGGTGGAACTTCAGAGGTGGTCGAAGCTAAGAGAAGGGCGAAAACGAGAGTTAGGGAAAACCGAAAATGAAAAGCAAGGGGAAATAAAGAAAGAAGAAGAAGCAGAGTAACGCATACCTTTCTACTTTTTTTTGTTTTTGTCTTTTTTTAATTCGCACCGGTTTGAACCGGTGCTTATTACCATAGTTGGCACCGGTTTAAGGCGAACCGGTGCCAAAACCGAATTTTTCAATCCCGCCCATTTCTTTTGGCACCGGTTTTTGGGGGGTGCCTATTTCATTTTTTCTACTAGTGGAGAATGATAAAGCACAACTTTCTGAGGTTGTTCATTTCCTTTGATTTCTTTAAAAATTATTAATTTAATATCAAAACACCATGGCCACCTCACTAAATTTATATCCTTATCCCTCCAATCATAATATTGAATAGCAAAAAAGATTAGGTATGAGAGCCCTAATCACTAGTTTTTTCGTAAGCATCCATACCTTTGTCATGGCGTTCTTGAACGCTTCTACATCATACGGACACTTTGTTGTCGATTTGCCTATCAATATTACGTGAAAATTTTCATTTGGGCCCTTTGATTCTACTGTCTACTATACCTCCGTCATCATCATCCAATCTCAAGTTTGCATAACGTTCAAGAATCTCATCCGTCATTGTAAAAAAAGAGACGCGCAAATTATCAAAAATCGACTCATCGACAACAAAACCCTACTTTATAGAGAAAAAATCCTTTCTTTTGATGGAGTCTAAGGTGTTTTGCTTTAATTTGCCTTGTACAAGTTGAAAACGAGGGATAGCTAAGTGGTTAGCGGACAGTAATTAAATTACCGAACGTTTTCCCTGGATTTTTAAAAAAAAAAATAATTTGTAAAACGCTGTCCCAGACAGCGTTTTACCGTTTGACTTTTTTTTAATTTTAAAAATTCTTATTTTCTGTTTATTTTGTGTGAAAAATCAAATTCACATAAGACGCTATCTGGGATAGCGTTTAATTACAAAGTATTTGTTGCAATAAAACGATGTCTGAGGCAGCGTCTTATGTGAAAATTTTGTAGTTGTAAATAAACCGTTGTCTGAGACAGCGTTTTATGTACAATTTTTTTTTGTACATATACCGCTGTTTGAGACAGCGATTTTCTGCTGGACTGCAACACCAACAGCCAGCAGCCTTTCTTCTCTTTAATCTTCCCCATTTCTGCCTCCAACACACCACCCCCAGCCTTCAATAAGCCACCACCCTCAACCACCACCCCACCACCAACCCCTACCGTCGACCACCACCTCCCACCAATTTCGACCACCCTTATGTACTTCAAAACACTCCAACCACCCCCAATAACACTACAACCAGCTCCACCACCAACCCCAACCTTACCACCACCACCAACAACCACTAACAGCACTACAACCACCATGAACCACCACATTAACCACCACGGGTCTTCGCTTCTACCCCGTTTCTCATTATGGAGCCCAAATGTCTTGTGTTTGATATATATCAGCCTAGAAGGATCTATTCTGACGGACATAAGTCCGATTTGGACAAATAAGGAAAGTAAACTTCAAACGACACACAGATTCATTCAAAAAACATTTTTTATATTAATAATATAAGTGTTATATAAAGCATTCTAGAAAATCCGAGTACAACAAATAAATCAGCTAATACTATCCCGACTCATTTATTGGGGTTAACGGTTCGCTATCCTGTCTATCGACCCTCCGTCTGACATTATGCCGCGTGTAATGAGTAATGGTGGTGAATGGGTCTCGGCACGGTGGGGGAGTCTGCTTGCTGGACGATGGGCCCTCCTGGGTGGGGGTGGGTGCAGAACTATGGATGATGTAATCCTCTGCGTCTGTGAGTGTCGTAGGATCACCTCCACCGCTACTCTGGCCGGGGTCGAACTGTGCATGGAAGGAGGATCCACTGTCTTGACCGTCCCGCTGGTGGATGAGATAACCGTGACCATGTCTCTGTAAGGAAGTCATGGACATATCTCGCATCCGCTCGACCTGGGCTCGGGTGGGTCCGTCTGCAAGGGCGAGTGACAGTGCATCAAACATCGACATCATATCCGCCGCCTACAGTAATCATCGGTCAGTCAGTTACATGATATATAAAAAAATAAAAAATGAGGACGATAAGTACAATAAAAGCAACTCACATATCCATGAATGACGTCATGTGCTGGCTGGTAATGTATGGACGGTGGTGTGTAGCTGGGGTTGATGAAACGGCGTGTAATACGCCTGTACCACACCATGTACGGATCGTGAGGATCCATATCGCCCTGCATCGGGTCACCGCCAACGACAAACTCCTGCCGTTGCTGCCATAGCTCAAGGAAACGCCAATGCTCCAATGCCCAGTTCGTCTCCCCTTTTCCCCGACGGTCAATGTCGTGAAGGCGTACACTAGTGTCACATTGCTGGGGAACAGGCTGGCGTAGTTGGAACTGTCGCATGACGCGGTCGGGTAGGTGACTCTCCACGACCTCGAAACAAATCAGGGGGACTCTGGCACGCCACTCTGCCTGATGATCCAGTAGATGTGCAGGCATGGCATCTACCAACGCCGGTTCATATGGATCCCAAATGATCTGCAATAACACATCAAAATAAATATTATAATTAAGTTAGTCCACATACGGTATACACAGCACATAATTGTTTACAAATATCTAAAAAGTTTCCACCTGCTGCTCAGTGAGTCGATCAAGGGCGTCTCGGTAGTACGGAAGACCCGTCGCCGCATGTGCCTGTGTGAATCTGGGGACCACCCACCTATGGCAACAAAGTTGTTTTGTTTGTTAGCAAAATGAAACCGTATGGGGGCAAAAAAGACTGACAAATGTTACAAACCTACAACTGTATGCCTCATTAGCTGCAGGGAGCGGTGGAGAGATGTACGGCTCATACTAGTCATCCATGTCCTGCTGCCCTCGACGATGTACAACATGCCTACCTGGTCTTCCTACGTGGATGTGCTCCCAAGCCCATGACTACAATAGCAAAATACAAAACTATGTTAAGTATGATCCGTGGTCATTACCTAAATAGCTTGTGAAAACTAGGTTGGTTACCTGAAGCACGATCAGAGGTCCACAGATCTCGACTGCACCACTATGGGAGGCCCTACAGAGGTTGCAATACAACATCGCCAAACAGGCACTACCCCAGCTGTATCCACGGATATGATCTCAGTCGTGGTCTAACAGCTGTAGGTAAATAAGATGCATATGGCTCCCGCTCTTGTTCCCGAACAACACGCCGGATATGAGCAAGAACAGGTATGCTCGAGCGTATCTCTGAACTGTGACGTCATCAGCGTCCGCAGGCATGTGACCAAAAGTATCTCGTAACCAGCCGGTCCTCAACCCGGAGCCCCTAATATCGTCGGGACCCGGCTGCATCCCGAGAACCTGGACTACCAAACCATCTGGATCGACTATCGCAGATCTTGTCACCAAAGTCCCATGCACAGGAAGGCGCGTCAGTATCGCGACGTCCCGCAATGTAACGGTGGCCTCCGCAACTGGTAGATGGAAGGAGTGCGTCTCCTGCCTCCATCTCTCCACTAGCGCAGTAACAAGTTGTTGGTCGATCTCCCTGAACGCCACCCAATGAATACCACCAAAGTCAGGGTACTCGACGTACGCAAGACAGCGTTCATCGACAACCCAGCCGCCCAGAGCCTGGGTAGTGTAGTGCCTGCAAATCAGCGCCTTCGTTATGTCACCCTGAAAAAGTATGATCCGTTTGTAATTAATATTAGATAGTACATCAATGAATCCAGAAAAGTAACAGATGAGATATTACCGTCTGGTTCCATACGTCGACGCTCCAATGTGTGTCCTGCAGAGTCGGGACAGAAGGGTCAAGGGGTCCGAGTGTCCAATCCTGTCCGTGCATGGTGTCTGTTCATTGAAAACGTTACATAATATACACCAACAGAATAACTGGACTAGCAATTTAACATAAGATGGACGGTTTAGATTTAAAGGCAAAGACAGAAAATTTCTTACAACAGCCAAAGTAGTACATATAAATCATCCAAGTGACATATAAATCATCCAAGTGACCGCAATTTTACAGACTTTAGATAATCTGGTAAAAAATATTCAAAATAACACTACTAGATACTAGTCAACAAATAACAAATATAAACTAAGGTCCTACGTCGGTCTAGATGGACTAGTAGTTCGGTTGTGACCCTGCTGGTGACAACGACTGCACTTGGTCGGGGGCCAGTTGGTGTCATCCATTTCATTGCGTATGCGCTTCGTTCTTGGACGACCTTTTCCTCGAACCACGGTCCCGTCCGGAATGAGTTTAGGGCCAACGTACTTTTCCCATTGTGGCCAGGTTGTCTCGCATGGGATAGGCTAGAATTGCGGTGCATAGGTGTTCGTGTAGGCGACCGATTGCAGCAAAGGGTCCACCCACAGCCGCTCCGACATTGAATACGCCGCACAAACTGCTAGAACATGAGAACATGGGAGGTGGAATATCTTCGGTTTGTTGCATGTACACGTTCTCAACTGCCAGTTAATAGTATGCTTGTGGCCTCCTTTACTACCAATTCGCTCTCCCTTCTCTGTTGTCACTTGGTAAATATGCAAACGGCGATTATACGCATCCACTCTATGATATCTGCCTTTTGCGGTGTTTTTCTCCAGGATCGCAGTGACTTTTGGGGGGTATGGAAGTCCCTGATCAGACCTAGCCTCAGAAGACTCCCTTCTCAGAGTGAAATACCTGTTAACCCTGTGGAAGGTTAACTCGACAAGGGACATGATCGGTAGAAACCGAGCTCCCTTCAAAACATTGTTAAATGTTTCCGAGAAGTTTGTAGTACATATCCCATATCTGCGACCATTGTCGTGAAAGAGAGACCACATAGTGAACGAGACTTCAGCAATGTACTCCATGGCCTTGGTACATGCCTCACCAATGAAACACAAATCAGCTTGAAGTTTTCTCCCCTGCCTTTGGTACGCCGCAGCCTTGAACATATCTCTCATGTCGTTACTTCGCACGTGAGTCTTCAAGTTAGATGCTATGTGGCGGACACAAAACCTGTGATAGGCTCGCGGCTGGGTGAATCCTACATTTAGATCATTCATTGCTGCAATGATCCCAGGATGTCGAT